AAGGATTCCTAAAAGAGATGAGGACTGTGATCACTAATTTATAGGTTAACACAGAAATGAAGTGCTGTTAGCAAGGGCAAGCAGTGAGCTGAAAGGCCGGGGAAGGATTAGAAAGGTGATCTCCTACATCCCCACTTCAAGTCAATAGCTAGACCTTTGAAACAAGATGTTGCCTGCTTTGCACATAAATACCTAAGATTCTCTTTACTGATCGACCCTACTACGTGAAATATATTATATCCATGAGATTACATAACAAAAACCAACATGAAATACATGAAACATCTGTTGTTGGTATTTGTACTGAAGCTTAATTTTAGATCATGTGCTATAATCATGTGTTGATTATAAAAAAAAATCAAACTCAGCCTGATCATCTTTGACCAGCAGAAGGCAGTAAAATCACAAAATGGAAAAAAATACCTAACTTTCTTCATGAACTCAATCTTGTGCTGTTGAGTCCAGAGTACATGGAGAATGCAGGGACATCGTCTTTTTATAGGATGTTAAACAGTAATGCCAGTTCCAGACATTCAACAAAGTCAAGTCACATCCTTCCCAAATCCTGCACTTTTTTTTTTTAAATCCTTGGCTCCTGATACAGCTAATGATTGCTTTTAAGCAGCTTAAGACAAACAGATTAATGAAGAACCAACTTTACAAAAGACTAAAAAAATCCACGCAAACCCCTCAGCATGTCTAGCCTAGGAGAGTTTTCAGAGATGCAGTTACTCTGACGTACTTTTAGAAAAGAAATAAAGCCTCAAGTTGAACTGGAAAACACTGTTGGCATGTGAACAAACGTGTATGTTTATGCTGGAGATTTAAATATTACTGGTCTCCACAGAATTTGCAGATCTTGGAACCATTTTGCTGTAGTGGAGTCAGAAGACACAAATTAAAAAAAAAAAAAAAAAAAAAAAAAAAAAAAAAAAAAAACAACACCTTAATTTACAGGATTTCTTTTTAGTATGTGTGAGAGTGTGAGTATGGCTGGGGGTGTGAAAGAGA